TTGTTAAAAGTAATTAGTTCTTGCTAGCTCACTAGTTTAGAGAGTGGTGGCATATCTCTTGTGTGCCTAGAGATCATACTTGACTAGAATTGTGGATACGTGGCTTGCAACCCTATTAGAGCTAGAGCAAAAATCATTTGTTGCCATTTAGTTATCTAACCAAATTGCTCTAGTTTTTTGTGGAGAATTTTTATAGGCTATTCACCCCCTCTAGCCATTTAGGACCTTTCAACAATCGGTATACCTCTCAGTCTCTTGTATTTACATTCATATACATATCTTGTGTAGAGGTAGCTTAAATAGACTGTGTACCTTAGTTGTAGTTAGTTAACTAGTGGTTTAGTTATCTAGCTAGCTCTCTTATTTAGGCAAGTAGTGACATAGCTTTTGTGTGCCTTAGTGATCATAATTCACTAGTATTGTGGGTACGTGGCTAGCTATTTGATTAGAGCTAGAGCAAAATGCGATTATCTCTATTTAGTTATCTAACCGGTTGTTCTAGTGTTTTGTAGAAGAATTTTTATTAGGCTATTCATTCACTCCCCCTCTAGCCATTTAGGACCTTTCAAGGTGCCATTCATCTGGAGGAACAGAGAGGCAAAATCTTCTTAACATGAGACCTCCTCCTCCTCGCATCGAGCACAGTCAAGTCTGACTTGTTGTACGAGACCAACAGCCTCTTGGGCGCCTACTGAGCATGAAGTTGGGCAAGGCTAACGAAGGTCTTGGTAGTCGTATCATCGTTCTCTTCCCCGCTAGTGAAAAATTGTTTCCCATCAAAAGGTTCCATCTCAGGGGCTACAAGCGAAACAAGGGAGCATCCAACGGACTCACAGAAGAATTTGGAACCCTTCCTCCAGTAGATGTGGACATGTGTATCCAAGAATCGTTGACTATGCAGGAAGAGCAAAATCTCATGCCACAATCTGTGGACATCCACATGTTTTATCTGGCTCCGCAAGCATTGCACCTTGTGAGATCCAACGGCTATTTAGTTTAACTGTGATATATTTTTTAACACCCTAATCTTGACCAAGACATATATTTATTCTTTTGTTTATAGAACTATAATCTATGTCTCCCTTTAGGTTCTTTATTTAATAAATGATATAGTAAACCATTAAATAATTATTAAACTATTGATTATTGAGTGTTGATCATAAGAGTATGTTGATCGATATGATGAATGCTAAATAATGTGTTGTAACTGATGGTTCCGAACAGGATAGAGAGAGAGGGAGGAGAGAGCTCAACAGTAGAGAGGGACGCACTAGGGTTTTGAATAAGTGGAAATGAGTAGGAGGTGAGTCCCTTTCCCTCATGCCCTTGGGCACTTATATAGACAATGGCTACTTACAAGTGGCCCCTTGGTGGAGTTGGATTTCACATGACACTATGCTAGCTGCTAGTTGGGTCTCTTCTAGGGGGAGATTTGGCCCATATATCTCATGGGATCCCACAACAGTAGTCCCTCTCAACTATTGGGTTATGGATGGTACATGTCCTAATAGATTCTCATACTAGACGAGGCGCAAATAGATCTCAAACCTTGGTCGCGAGGATCACCCTTCGCAACCTACGCGTGTGCGCCTCACTAAAAAATCCAACCAAAAAAACCCGTGGGAAAAAAGGGAATGGAGAAAAGAGCACACACATGACTCTAGTCTATACAAGTGCTAACTCAGGAAGCCACTAACTCCAAGTGCCTCGATGTCGATCTCTGCGGTATCTTCATATTCGGGCTTCAGCTTCCTTGGGCACTTCTATGGCATGGATTGTTAGCTTCGCTCGACACACAGGTCTTTGCCTCTGGGAGCTTCTCAATGTGCAGATCTTTCCTCTGGGACCTTCACATTGTGTAGATCTTAATCTCTGGTCTGGGACCTTCTCTGTGTGTAGATCTTCACCTTCGGGACCTTCTCGAGGCTTCACGTGGAGACACACCTTTACTTCACGAATAGGTGTAGTCATCATAGTTGATGTACTTGAAGTAGTCGTAGCTGAAGGTTGTTGTGAAGACTCCAAATCTTCTCTCATGAGCGTCGAGCAAAAGACTTCACCCTCTGAAGTGTCAGGTCATCTAGTATTCTCCCCTAGCTCCTCTTGGCTGGCGCTTGTAACCGAATATTCAGTTGTGCATGTATGTTGTAGTTGACTTAGTCATAGTAGCCATAGTAGCATAAGTAGATTTCCAGACCAAACTTGTTGGTGAGCCCCTCGATCTGAAGTGGTCAAGGAAGGTGAAGTAGACCTCGGTCCCAAACGAGTTGATGTAGCCCCTCAAACTAGGCGATGAAGGAAAGTTGTCGTAAACGTTGATGCCAAAGGTGTTGACAAAGGCTTTCAAGCCGTTGTAGTGGCCAAAGATGATAGTGAAGCCTCTTCTGCCGATGTGTTGGTGAAGACGAGTCATCGTAGTCACCGAAGATGATGTTGGCGAAGCCCCTCATCCTAAAGTGTAGGCAGAGGCAAGTCGTTCTAAATGCTGAAGAAGTTGGTGAAGCCACTCGTGAGGCATTGTTGGAGTAGATGCTAAAGATATCAGCGAAGCCCCTCATGCTGAAGTTTTGGCGGAGGCAAGTTATTTTAGTCACTGAAGATATTGACGAAGATACATATTGTCGGTGTTGACTCCGGAGATGTAGGAGAAGCCCCTCTAGCTATTGGCGTCAAAGGTTAGTCATTGCAGTCGTCAAAGATGACGGTGAGGCCCCTTGCCTAGAAGTGTTGGTATGGGTGAGTCGTTGTAGTCACTAAAGTGTTGGCGAAGCCCCTCCTACTTAAGTGTTCACCAGGAGCGATGCTAGGGGAGCGCATGAGGTATATGGCCCAAGTCTCCTTCTAGAAGAGGCCCAACTAGTAGCTAGAGTAGTGTCATGTGAAATCCAACCTCACCAATGGGTCAATTGTAAATAGCCATTGCCTATATAAGTGCCCAAGGGCATTCGGGCAAGGGACCTCTCCTCTAAGCCTGGACACATTACCTGATACCCATTACCCAAACCCGAAATACCCAGACCCGTATCCGAAATACCCGATCGCTAATTCGGATACCAACTCTGGAAACCCAAAATTATTTTGGGTAATTCGGGTTACATGCCTGGGTACCCGAACTACCCATATAACCCGAATTTTAACTAAGGCCATCGCAAACTCTCCCAGTCCCCACCTTTGTCTTCACGGGCATGCCAAGTCCACCAGCAAGCCAGGCCGCTGAGTCACCCTATGTGTGGCCTAGAAACATAAACAACACATAAAACCTCCTCCGTGTGTCTACTCGCGGTACTTGCCTCGCGACTTGCAACTTCGCGAGAGGAGACGCGCACCGCCACCCCACAAACGCCGCCCTCTTGGCTCCTGCCATGACGCCGCGCGCCAACCACACCGACAGCCCCCCGATGATCGACCCCCGCCACGCGACAACGTCGCGAGGTGCCCTACTGCCTTCACTCGCCGCTCGGCCACCGTCAGCCACCCTGACGCCCTTATCGACCGCCGTGTTGCCATCACTGGACGTGAGCTGCATCACCCTCACCCATCGACTGTACTAATGTTTATAATCCTGGGTATAACGAGTATTACCTGAACCAAAAATATTGGGTACCCGAAAATTCGGGTAATGCTATTTTGGGACAAACATCGGGTACCATTTTTTAAAACCAAAATTTCTCAAAACCCGAATTTTTCGGGTAACCCGAATGTCCAGGCTTGCTCTACTCCCACTCATTTCCACTCGTTCAAAACCGTAGTGTGTCCCCTCTTCACCATCGAGCTTTCTGCTCCCCTCTCTCTTATATTCAGAACTGACAATTCCAATACAATGGACTTGGAAACATATTGTCCTAGATATTCATGTATTTGAGTATTTGTGTTCATAAATTTTTTGTCTAGTTAAATGTTTATGTGGAAGACTAAGCCCGCACAAGGATGGCAGTGCTCCATCTCGGCAGGATCGAGGGCAGGAGGACGGCGTTCCGATCCGAGCGATCTAGGATTGGCCAAGAGTTTCAGAGTTTGTTACCAGTTAGGGCTACGTATCCAATCCGATAGGTTCAAAAATACGTAAATTAGTTGGTTTTAACAAGCTAGTTAGTTAATAACTAAGTTATGTTTGCATTAGCTAGAGCTAATTACTAATTTTGACTAAAAATTCGCTCAAATTAGTGAGGTTAGCTAGCTAGTGACCTAATTACTAGTTGTAGGCTTGGCAAAAAAAAAAAGTTAACCGACCTATTAGCCTCCTACTTGGATGTGCTAGCAATAAAAATCAACTGGCTAACAATTAGTCATATACATCCAAACTGGCAGCTTGTTGGAGGATTGGCTAAGAAAATAAGCCCATCTACACACACCGTTTAGATGGGTTAGGGATAAAATTAGTCGGCTAACAATTAAAATATATTTGGGTCCCATGGTCTAAATGTTAGCTAGCTAAGGTTAAAGGCTAAACTCGTGCGTTTGATACGAACCTGGAAGCCAGGGCTCCTAGCCACGACCCACGGTGTAGTGTTGGGCGTGGCCTTAGAACACTTGTACCGTATCCTTAAAATGATATTTGAAGTTTCTGTGTCCTCATCGAGCATTGCTTTATACTTCCTCCATCCCATAACAAGTGTCATTTTCACTTTTCGAGAAGTTAGACATTTTTAACTTTGACGAAATATATATAAGAAATTATTAATATTTATGATACGTAATTAGTATCATTAGATGAATTGTTGAATATGTTTTTATATAAATTTATTTTGAGATATAAATGTTGTTAGTATTCTCTATAAATCTAGTTAAAGTTAAAAAAATAATTAGCACACATCGTATAGCGACATTTATTTTGGAAATGGAGGACGTTCCACGAAGCGAGCTGAGGTTTGATAAAACATTCCAGCTGATCAATGTATAGGCATCCACGCCCGATCAATCGAAAAATCATTTAACTACGCTCACAGTGCTTCTCCGGTGGAAAGGCACGAGAAATGGAATTATTTGCTAGAAGGCCCGCTCTATCCGATGTCTACACACTGCAGAAAAAAAACATAAGCATCAGTGATGACTGATGATAAATAATTTGTGGAGCACAGCCTGAAACCGAAGAAGCGAGCACTTGTGGCGGGTGATCTAACACTAATTGACTTGGTGACTTTGGTGGGCTATTTCAATATGCTGGAAAGTAGCATATCTTTTGGAATTGAAACCATTAGCTGATTCAATTTACTCACACAATCCCCAACTCCAAGAAAATCAAATCTAGTGAAACAACAAAATTTCGATTTCTAAAACTATAATTATCCATATAACTAGTCCTAAATAAGAATTTTTTGAAGAAATGCATGCTTATGCTTTCGCAGTTAGGCATACACATCTCTGCTGCACTAGAGCATTCGAACAAACACATAGTGTGCATGTGCGAATCACAGTGTGCATGTGCGAATGACAAACAAACCTGCAGTGTCCAGGGCTGCTGCGCCTCGCAGATGGAGATGGCCTGCACGAGCGTGGCAGTCACGAGCGCCTCGACGCTCCGGTTCCTGAGGCAGGTCACAGACGAGCAATCCTTGAAGAGCTCGAAAGCGTGGTCGGCTATATCCCTGTTGAACCTGTGTATGGAGGCGACGTCGACGATCTGGAGGTCGGCACAGGCTGTCGACTGAGATGAGCAACGGCAGGTCAGCGGTCAGTCCCCGGCTCTCCCAGCTGAAAGCAAACAGAACATGTGTAAATGCTTCCGTTGGAATTTTTTCCAATTCCATTCCCAGGTTAATTCATTTCCAAAATCGAACCTTTTTTAATGATAGAGGTGGACAGTGCAGTAGTAATCCAACAAAACCAGATAAATCATTGGGAACCATAGCATAGGAAATAATAAATGAGATGGTATTTTTCATTGCTCATCGCTATGGGTGGAACTTTTACAGTGGGATGTAATCCCGTATGTTCTATTGACAACACACTTTTGATCTTGTTAGTTGTTACAAGCAAATACAACGTAGATGTCAGTGGTTATGTCTAACATTAGTACTCCTGCACTCCAGTATTCAGCAGCAGAAGAGAACGAGTGCAGACTACAGAGTATAACTGTCCGTCCAGTAGTTTCAACTTTCAAGGTTTCGTTCCTCCATGATCAAATGGTCTTCCTTAAACCAGTGTCAGCTATCATTTCCCTGAGACGGAAAAGATTTGGAGTCAGCCAAAACGAGCAAATATTTATTCCTAATCACTAATCAGGCATCAAAATGTGCTAGCATATTCAGGGACACTGTTGTATATCATTTCTTTTCCACACATCAACGCCTAAGATATTTATATCTCACAAGATACAGCACACTCATCAATGTTGCCAGCACGTTACAAAGCATGTGCAACCCAAGTTAGTGTAGCCTATCTGCAAAAATGATAACAAAGGACACTCCGAGGCAGAGCTAGAACTCCTATGAGAAGAAAAAAATTATGACACAGAGCCAGGATAAATTGCACAAGCAAAAATGTTGAAATCAAATCATACATAATGCTAAAGGTTAATTTCAGTATAGTAGATTACAAATATGTAAAACCAAGCTTACCATAATTTTGGTATTTCTTTGAGAAGTTATATAAGGCTTTCATGATGGCCCCATATTTCAATGATTTCAGTGGCCCCATATAGCTGGAACAAGAAATATTAGAGATTTGTCAATTGTGGTGATAGGACGGAATTATAATGATGATTATTGTATAACAATTTCACAGTTAGGAATATTAATGTCTTGACAAAGAACTTACATAATTTCAGTATACCGTAATCTCCATGAAGGAAAGCCTAAATGGCATCTAGCAGGACCATACATGAGAAGAAGATCAGGTTCTGGTCCACCAAAACCTAATGGATGAAGCCAGAACTTAGGTGATAAAGTAATTAAAGCATGATAAATAACTAAATAATAATTTTATGAAATAGAGCATGCAGGAAAGGGTGACTTTGCCAAGTATACCTACAGCTTTCAGCGCACTAGCCATGTCAGCTTCTGTAAATGTTGGTTTCCTTTTGCCATCTCCATGAGTATCACCATTGAAATAAGCTGAGCAAAGTAAACTGGCTGCTTTAGCAATACCCTCCTTGCCATTAGAACCAGAAAGACAGTCTACCACTATCTCCCTTTGGCTACAGTGTAGATCTTTGATGTTTGCACCAATGCCCTACATGTTGTAATGAATCATGATAGATATACACAAAAGTAAGATCCTAATATAAAATGGAGTAGCAGAAAGCTCAACAGTGCAGCTTACAAAATCTTCTCCTGCATTAATATCTCTTGAAGCATTCACAGCAGGTTCAAATGATTTCTTCAGGACTCCTATGATGCAACATAGAATAGTGTACGATAATCTTGCACATGCTAGATTCAGTCTACAGGTCCCAAAAGAAAAGATAATTTGTGCACCTGTCAACTAAAACCATCACAAGATGATGTGTAAAGGGCAACAGGGAAGTTAGTTTGTTTTGTTCTGCCCAGGTATTATGACAGTCCAGTAATGTTTATTGAAGTCATTTGATTTCTAATAAACCATATTTATTTTACAGAGAAGGAATGGTAAAACGAACTTCAGACTGAAAACAGCCATACCCTGCAAACTCAAATGCTGAACTCATCGTCTTACCATCGATGTCGTAGAGACATACATACTTCACACCCATAGATGAGAGCCAGCATAGCAGTTGCTTGACCTTTGCAGTACTTTTAGCTTCTTTGCTATCTACCACAATAGCCAAGTACTTCAGTCTACCCAGATGAAGATTCTGATACTTCCGCAACAACCCCGATGAAATAAAATAGCATTCTAGACTATAAATCAGATGAGACCATAAATTTAAAAAGCTGATTGCTAAGTGGGTGATGGTCCACAACAACCCCAAAACAAGATTGATAATAATTGATGGTCTAGACATCTGCACATACAGAGAGAAAAATACAATTTGTCATGCTCTCCCACAGAACACATTAAGGGTTATAGAAATATATCCAAGAGATACAAAAACGTTAGAAACATTTAGATTCTAAAACTTAATGCAATCAAGTAATATGATGTCAACATGCATCAGTGCTGTTCTGGGGTTGCATAACAACAATTGACAAATGTGCAGTTGCCTCATCGCATCATTCATATTGCTAATGTGTCATAATATTATCACATAAATCTAAACTCTCAATTGTTAAGCAAACACATGAAAATTGAGGATATGGTTGAGCCTGAAACCTCTGTTATAAACAAATTACTAGCTCAGTGCAGATTCCATTATATATCTCAGGCTCAGCAAACGATTTCAAGGTTTTGCATCAATTAAAACAGGGTTGCTAATGTTGCCATACTTTGAAGCTTCACAGAGCTGGAAACTTCTGTTTTTTCAGCTAAGGTGATAAAAAATGTAGGATTACAGAACAATTAAACTTTCGGCAAAGGTTATAAGAAATGTGCAAAATAGAACTCATAGAAATCTTATCAAGAAATTAAACTTAAAATAAAAGAAAGCCATGTCTTAAGAAGTATGTATTATTTCTTCTATAAGGTTCCTTCCATTGACTAGATTGAAGCCTCTCCTAAAATCAGTCTTATACAATAAAAGAGCCAAAAGGTGCAAAAATAGCAGAAAAGGAGACCAGTTCATCAGCATACATACATGTGGAGGGGGCTGATTCATGAAGACGGATGCCTCACTAGCCAGAAATGACTCCCTGCACAAGAACAATGAGATAACTATTCTGAAGAAAAGGAGAAATTGGAGGCAGGGCCCATCATACAGCCAACCAGATATATGAATGTTAAAAAATATTGCAAATTGTCTTGAAAATTTCCTTTCACCCTGTCTACTTGCTTCCTCAACAAGAGATCAAAGCAACACTAGCACAAACAAACAAGAGAGGCCAGCAATCGGCACAGAGAAACAAACCTGAGAGTGAGACAAGCAAGAAATCTAACATGGGTTTGTAATCAATGGCAATCGCAGCTGAGCTGAGGAGGGCAGAAGGCTGAGGAGGAAACAATGGAAGCAACAAGAACCAGGTGTGTGTGGCAGTCAAATTAGAGAAGCCTACTTGTGGCCGGGGCTGGACCGCCGGATTAGGCAAAAACTGTAATTGTCACAGGAAGACACATGAGCTGGCGCCTCTATCATATTGACGTGTACCAGTTGATCTGTTGAGTGTGACAGTTTGTTTTCAGAGACTAGAAGAGGCTTCACACAATTCACCTCTCCCTTTCGCTTTCTAAGGTTGTCCACTTATTTCCTTCTTATTCCTAAAATGCTTTACAGCTATTTAAGGGTCGCAATGAGGTGGATGCAGCCAGGGGCGGACACAGGGACGTTGTTTACAAATGTACAAGCGATATTTTTTTGCAAAACAATCGAAGTTAGTAGGCATAATACATGCATGTACACTTGTAATTAGATCAGATCCGAATACAAAAAGTAATTTAGGGTTTGGGTGCTCGGTTCCGCACGGCAGGAAGTGAAGACCAAGGGGTGGGCGCACCTGGTGGTGCTCGTCGTCGGCGAAGAGCCGGAAGAAGACCTGGGCAGTGGGCACCTGCCTGCTCGTAGGCCGTGGGCGGCAGCAACCTGGGCACCTGGCGTAGTCGTCGCCGAGGGTGGGATAATGGAAGAAGTAAAGGCAGTGTTGCTACAGACCTACAACAGTTCTCTAAACCCAAACCCGAATTTTTTTTTTCCTGGGTCCCTTCGATCGTAGCCTCCCACTCATCGAATAAAGAAGAAACCTCTCCTTCCTAATCTACTATTTTTCTCATCAGGAATTAGATTTTCTCGTTCTAATAGAAAAAAAGGCCTTTAAAATCCTAAAACATGTTTTGTATCTCTCCAATAACTAGATTTTGGATTAGAGTTTTCTCCTACTACTGAAGTGCTCCCGCAACGTGCCGCCCAAAATCGAGACCGCAAATTGTCCATTAAAAAATACAGTTCTAACATAGTGTCATGTTTTAATGTTTTAGTATCTTAAATTAACTAATTATAAATAAAAAGATATTAATATTTATAATATCATTAGATAGATTATGAAATGTATTTTTTTAATAAATTGTCATGCAGGAGCCCTCCCATTGACGACAATCAGAATTCAGTGGCATGCAGAGCCTTAACGGTCATCATGGCATCTGTTTCAAGTATCATCCTGTGTATGCCTAGACTCTGCGCTGCCTTCACTCCTCGCATACATGCCATCAGTTCAGTTTGCCATACCTCCAGCGCATTTGTAATCTTTCCTGCCCCTGCTTGAATGACTTGACCTGGTAGTGGCTTGTTTCAGCTTGTTTCAACTTATTTTCTCTCACAGAATACTATTTAATCATTCAAAACCATCCAAAATTTACTGTGCAAGGCACCAGCCGAACACAGTGGAATCATCTCTTATGACATAACCCCAGCTTCCTTGGGCTCCTCCTTTGCTGAAACCTCCATCGACGTTTACCGTCATTTAGGCCATTCGGGGGCCAGCTCCATTTTTGCCGGTTATGGCATTGCTGCCCTGCAGTTTGGGTTTCTCCTAATTTCAGAACTCCACCTGCATTTAGCCATCATATGTACCATGATGTTGTGCTTGCCACGAACATAGATGAAAAAAAAAATATGACTCAGTTATCCCACTGTATGCAGGCTGATGTTGAAGCTAATACTTATTAGGGTATCTTTAACCCCATTGGGAATACCTGAATTCATCCCATACCATTTTAAAGATGCTCCATTGACAGCTAATGAACCAAATGCTTGTCAGCTTTGTTATGTTTGGTCTTCGTTACACAAACACCTGGTGTAGCATGCATTTTCGTTTAATGTTATTATATTGGTTGATTAGAACTGAGTCACCTTCTGTCTGCTACGTAGCCAAGAGATCTCTATGCTAGCAATCTTCCTCAGATATAGATAGCAGGAAAAACTTTAAACGTATCTGGCAAATATCCGAAACTTGGTATACTATTCATGTCACACTAATTTTATCAATCACTACCGATTCACCTTCTGTCTTCTATGTGAACAGGAAATCTCTACTGCTAGCAATCTTCCTAAAAAAGAGATAGGAAAATACATCAAAATACTTGCCGAATCTCTGAAACTGAGTCAACCACGTAACAGCAACTCAATAGCTGTCCATATGTGCCCCGATTTTGCAGCTTGCTCCAGCTGAATAAATCTGATCAGGTATCAGATGATCTGAAAAACCTATTACTGAAGCATTATGCTGAAAATCAATATCTGCTTTAATATATTGTACTCCTATGTTGACTCTTCAGGAACTTGCAGCTCATATTGGCGAGGTGGTTGTTAATAAGTGCTTCACACGGCGGAATCCCATAAGTATATCTGGCTATCTGCTGCTGCTATCTACCTTGCATGTCAGCTTGAAGAGAAGCGCAAAACTGAGGCTGAGATCTGTAAGGTTACGGGGCCTCGCAGAAGTCACACTACGCAAAGCGTACAAAGAACTTTTAGGGAATTGGGATCATTTGGGCCCTGTTCGCTTGAACTTATCAGCCGGCTTATCAACTAGAATCTACAGTATTTTTCTCTCACAACAAAACAGCTTCAGCCGGCCTATGTATCAGCCGAACAGAGTCTTGCTCTCCCTTCGCCCTGACTATACACCTGCCACACCACCAGAGAAACCTTTCCCCAGGACCAGCATTACTCAGGGCGCTCAGCAAGTATGCCAAGGAGAGTAGTAAAAAAAAACGAACTTCCAAATTCCAACTCTCGTCCGACCCGCCGCGCGCGCTCGCCATCTCTCGTGGCAGTCGCTGCCGCCCTACGCCAGCTGCCCCAAGTCTTCTTCGGGTCCCTTCGCCGGGGACGAGAACTACCAGGCGCAAGACGGCGAGAGACAACAAAGGGACGCACTTGGTCCCCGACTATGGCACGTCCAGCCACACCGCCTCCGCGTGGAGCGACGCGACGGCAAGCGCCACCGCGAGGGCCTGCGCCACTGCTATCTCGGCCGCCCTCCTAGGGATCTTCGCCTCGAGGGATCGGGCAGGAGGGGAAGGATGCCTGTCAGGTACTCAGGTGGAGAGGAGTATGGCGTCGGCAGATGAGACGACGGCTGTACATCAGAATTCTGGAAGGTTTGGAGCATGGCGGGGCTCTCGGATCTATGCTTCGATCCGGGAATTGAGTTTTCTCGCTTGGTCTCACTGCGCTTCGGGTGTTCGGTGAGTCCCAATCCTCTTCTCTCCACCCCAGCTTTCCTTCTCGTCGCCAGTTTTGGGCGTTCTGCGGTTCGTCTCAATGTAGACTCCGTTGGGCTCATCCTCCAGGCATGCCTTGGTGGCATTGCGAAGGATTTCAGAGTTTATCATCTTTCTGGATGGATGTTTAGCTTTTCAGTTTCTTGCAAGAATGTCGGCCTCATGGTTTAAAAACTCAAAATCTATTCTTGCAAAACCTTTGTCGTCTTCTTCCATCTTTGGAGTGGGGGTGGCCCTAATTGGCGCAAGGAATTTGATCTCTGGCGCCATGAACAGGAGTCTGAATGGACAACAGTTGGTTCTAGATTCAAAAAAAGCTTTGCTGAGGTTGTCCGCTCACCCCTAGTCCCAAAAAATCAGTTTTCCTCCGGTTAAACTATCCGAAGGATTATGGCTCTTCTCTCCTAGATCATTCTTTCAGCACCAGACAGACCCATTCGGCCATTCACCTTTCCAAGGACTTTGGTCATAAACTGGAATTAGATCAATCTCTGAAGCAGCAGTCGCGTGTTCTTCGCTGGGTCCACAAGACTACCTTTAAAACCCCAGCGCCTTCCTCGGCGGGATCCAGGTTGAGCACTTTCAAATCTTTGATTCCTCTCTCCACGGCCCACTTGGCGGAGTCTAATAAAGTCAAGGTTTCAAATTTGAAAAACAGCGACATTCATGGCTCAGTTTATCCGCCTCTTGTCTCGGCCCACTACTCCAGATGCTTGGGCCTTGGTCACACAAAGAAACTTTGCAAAGGATCAATCAGGTGCAAATCTTGTTTCAATTATGGACATCTTTCCTATACATGCCTTTCCAAAGGCCGTCAGCGCCATTACCGGCACATTTCCAAATCAGAAGTTGGAAGGTCACGCCTGGTTCCCTTAAATGCAACAGCATCGTCCTCCTCAAAGCATTCTGAAAAGCTCGCCCCCTCCCCTTCCCTCGCTACAGTGAGAAACCCTCCCTCAAAGACAACAATGGCCAACTTCCTATGCGATCCTCGCCCCCACGTGCCGCCGGGCTTCTCCCTGGAGGATCCCCCCTGCGGCCGCCACTTCGACATGAAGTATTCATCACGGGGTGCTACACCTTGTTCAACGAGGATCTGGCCATCGCCAAGCTCACGCCGCCGGTGCATAAAGACGACTTCAAGCTCCTCGCCAAGGAACTAAAGGTATTCTTTGAGGAAGTCCACCAGGTCAGTGTTGCAGATATCCTGCCCTGCCCCCTTAGTGATGCCTACGTGTGTTTTGGTAGCCCACTGGATAGAGAGTGGTTCCTGGGTCCTTCATTCACCTTTGGTTGCTACCAACTGTATTTTGTGAAGCATGATGAGGCGGAAAATGCTAGATCTTTTGAACTGGATAGGGAAGCTTGGGTCTTGCTCTTAGGGTTTCTTGTGGATTTGTGTACCAGTCAGATCATTGCTAAGTCAGTGTCAACCTTTGGTATCATGGTGAACTGGGATGATTATGCTAGCCTTGCTCGAGTTGTAGTCAAAGTTTATCTGAATGATGATAGGAAAATCCTAGATTTAGTTAAAGTTAATGCAGGTCTGCCCACCAAAGGGAGGTCATGGACTGTTCCATGCTATGTGCTCAAGAAGAACAATGTGCAAGAAATGCCAAATGAGGAAGCTTATGTGACAGTGGGACCGCTGCACCCCTTCCCCACCCCAGCTCCCCGTTGGATAGGTCATGTTTCCCTAGCAGACTCTAGTGCAAGCCTTGTTAACTCCAATGCAAGTTCCAATATGATGGTGGATGGGCAGAACAAAGCTGTTGAAGCCCAAAATGATCCTGTTGTGCATGATGATATTGGGTTGCCTGCTCCTGCTATGGCAACTGAGGCCAATGCTATAGAGATCGTCAAAGCTTTTGAGGATAGGTATGAACATGTTTCCCTGCTGTGTGATGAAGTAATCCCCCCGCCAAAGGTGAAGTCAATATTGGTTAAAGTTGATAGGAGGCTGTTTGATGCCCCCCTGAGAATTCCTCTATGAAGACTGTCCCTACCGTGGTTGCCCTGCCTGGACCACGATCGGTTCCGATTAGAGACCTGCCCAAGGTATTTCTTTTTATACCCAAAGCACCTCAATCCAGAAGTTACTTTAATCTCAATCTCCTTGACATTGATCCCAACTGTTATATCCTTGATTACTTTGATGATTTCCTAACTCTTGCGTGGTTGGCCTTCCTCATCCCTGATCAGACCAAGGAGCCAACCCCTACCCGTAAGGAGATTGAGGATATGGATGAGGATGATGTGATGGAGATTGCCTCGGCCCAGTTCACCCCTAGGAAGAGAAGGGCTATCAAGGTCAAGGAACAACTGGATGAAGAATTTCTTAGGCGTGGCAAGAGGAATGCAGTGAAGCGTGCTGGTTTCAAGACCCCCAGAAGAAGAGGAGCGCCCAGGAAGATGTGCTCGAGCCAATGCCCCTCGCCATGATCCCAGCTTCACCCTTCACCTCAGCACCAGTGCCCTATTTGACAAAGGAGGTGATTGAAGGCATTGCTACTGGGTTCCTCCATATTCATCCTAGTGATGTTTCTGCTACCATTCTCTAGAAGGACGTCAATGACAACTAGTCCGAACGTGCATGCTCCTGCATCACCGTGCCACTGGGTGGTGCCTCTTTTGCTTTCATGGGGTCAATACAATGTTAAGTTAGTGTTTTCATGTGTCACCAGTCTACATACTGGTTTAATAAGACTTTTGTTGCCATGTGGCCTGGACAAAATACTTCACGGTTGAATCGATCAGTCAATCCTATCATTTACCTTTCTTACTTATGCTTGTTTATCTATAGCTCTTTCACTGTGCTATGCAATCTTACTGCTCTCTGTTTAACTATTGCCTGGTGTGATAGTTCATTCCTCCATCTCTCTTATGCGATACAATGAGTAATAACAAAGGCTTCAACATTTTGGCTTGGAATGTAAGAGGTATGAACTCAAAAGAAAAATGGGATGCCATTAGAGCAAAGATCAATGAAAGTTCATGTCACATAGTTTGCGTCCAAGAAACCAAGAGAGACAACTTTGATCAATTGTAACTCAAAAAGTTTTGCACCAAACGACTTAATTCTTTTGCCTTCTTTCCCTCAGTTGGGGCCTCTAGCAGTATTATCACAATTTGGAATAACAATGTGTTTTCTAGAGATGTTTTCAAGCTAATGCCTATTGTGTTACTGTCAAATTTATTAACAGGCTTGACAACAGCTGCTTTTTTCTAAGCAACATATATGGGCCTTCTCATGCTTCTGGAAAATTGGCTTTCATCACCTAGCTCTTAAATCTTGATACCACTAGCTTTGAAGATTGGCTTCTGGTTGGTGATTTTAACCTATATAGATCAGCAGAAGACAGAAATAGAGCTGGTGGGGATGCTGGAGATATGCAAATGTTTAATGATCTTCTTTCTGGTCTCGAGTTGGTTGACATCCCCTTCAGTGGCATATCCTTCACCTAGAGTAACATGCAACTTGTCCCCCTCCTGATCAAACTTGACTGGGTATTATGTAATTCAAGTTGGAGTTTGAAATACCCAAGTACATCGGTGCAACCTCCGTCGAAGCCCACCTCTGATCATACACCCTATGTTATCAACTTTGGCAGCAGTATACCTAGAGCTTGTATTTTCAAGTTTGAAAATCACTGGGCAGATCATCCTGACTTTGTAAAAATGGTGGAACTCTATTGGAATAGTTCTCCCTTCCATGCTAATGTAGCCAGAACCATATCTGCAAAATTCAAGCAAACAAGAATTGGGATAAAACAATGGAGAAAGGGGTTTCAAAATGTTAACAAGCTACACCATAATTGTGACTGGGTTCTTATTCTGCTAGATGGATTGGAAGAACAGAGACCTTTATCAAGCCTAGAATCATGCTTCAGAAAGCTGATCAAAGGACACATTGTCAAGCTGCTGGAATCTAAAAGATCCTATTGGAAACAAAGAAACACAGTTAGATGGATTAAACTTGGAGATGAAAACACAAGTTTCTTCCAAGCAATGGCATCAATTTCTCATAGAAGGAATTCTATTGCTAGCCTTTCTCTACATGATGATGTCATAGTCACCAATCATGATTAGAAAGCAGGTATTCTGTGGGAGGCTTTTAAAAATAGATTGGGTGTCTTTGAGTTTACTGAAGTGACATATGATTTGCATTCCCTTCTCCAAAGGCATGATTTAAACTTCTTGGCTGATGATTTCACTGAGTAGGACTATAACAAGGTGATCTCTGAGATCCCCAGCAATCATGCTCCTGGCCTAGATGGTCTCAATGGCAAATGTATTAAAAAGTGTTGGTCTATCATAAAGCCAGATTTTCTGAGATTGTTCTCTGACTTCTTTAGAGATTTCACAAACCTCACCAGCATCAACTCCTCCTATATCACCTTGATTCCTAAAAAGAGCAATCCAGAAACAGTTAATGATTTCAGACCCATCTCCCTCTTGAACTACTCCATGAAGTGCATCACCAAACTGCTCTCTTCCAGGCTACAACAGGTCATTCTTCAGCTAGTACATGTCAATCAATATGGATTCATCAAGGGCAGGACCATCCAAGACTGCTCGGCTTGGGCTTTCCAGTTCCTACATATATGTCACCATTCTAAAAAGGAAATAGTCATCTTGAAACTAGACTTCGAAAAGGCTTTTGATAAGCTAGAACATCAAGTTATCTTAGATGTCATGAAATTTAAAGGCTTCCCTGAAAAATGGGTCAGATGGGTGGAGGTCATACTCAAATCAGGAACTTCTTTTGTCCTCCTGAATGGCATACCTGGCAAACCTTTTGCCTGCAAGAAAGGAGTTAGACAAGGTGATCCACTCTCTCCCCTTTTATTTGTTTTGGCAGCTGATCTTATTCAGACAATCGTCAATAAAGCCTGGCAAGCTGGTGTTCTGTACCATCCACTAGCAGATGATTTTGAGGAATTCTTTCCCATAGTCCAGTATGCAGATGACACTCTACTGATTATGCCAGCAGATGCTAGGCAACTATTCACTCTGAAATGCTTGCTCAGGACTTTCTCTGATTCCACTGGGCTACATGTGAACTTCCAAAAAAGCTTTCTGGTTCCCATTAATATTTCTACAGGAAAATC